AGTAGGACAAGTTGTGACATATCATTAGGTATCCCCACTGATCTTGCCTTATTAGTAAAATATGTATTCTTTCTTACACCCAACCCTAAGAGGTAGGGGACCCTCTTATCATATTCATTGTTTTCAACATATCACTGAACTATAATCAAACTATTGCATTGTTTTGCCTATCCTTCACTCTTACATACCTTGCGTGGATGTGTTAAGTAAAATCTCAGTATAATGTTGTTGTTTTTTTAATGCTGTTGGATCTCTCTCTTATTTATATCATAAAACCTGGTTACAATGATAACAAATTCCACACATTAGCATATATTTACTGAAGCTAATTATATCATTGAGATATTTTTAATAAATGAAAAAGGTCATTCTTAAGGGTAAATGCTACAACTGATTTTTGTTGGAGTTATCTCCCTTACACATTAAAATACACACCATCACTCAAAATCTGTGAGATATCTACTTCCTATTTGAATTCAATTTGACATCAGCACCAGGTAAATGTACATTATCTACTTGGTTAAATCAACCTACCAGCCTGATTGGTAGTGATCCTAGGGAACACAGAATTCTGCTTGATTCCTGCGATGGCTACCACTTGAAAGTTATACATCGTGAAGGGCAACAAATTATCAAATGTGACTGAATGGCTATCTCTTGTCACTGCCAGACTGTGAATTCCGCAGGGATCTTTGTCACGGAAACACACCACCATGAAACTGTCCACGTGACCCTCAGGCTTGTGGATGGTAAGTGTTATTTCTGACGATGTGGCGGTCTGGGTTACATGGGGCTGATTTGGCACTGTAGAGAGAAATTTTGATTATTATTTCAAACAGATATGTATAAAAACTGATGAAACAGAAAATACATATTGCCCAATAAGCTTTGTCACACAGAATGGTTTAGGATAAAGTAAGGAATTTCATACTGTATGGGATCAATAAAATACTTTTCTAATTAAAGAAATTACAGGCTTAAATTACATACATGATAGGATCAGACATCGTCACAGTAGATGTAATCTGTATATATAATGCTAACATGCTACATAGAATATGTCTGTATCTCATTGCACTCATACCACCCTAAAGGCAATAAAAACACTGTTCAATCCCTACATAATGATTCCATCATACGAAATATTGAAATAGTGGAAGAAATGGAAATCTAAACACTGATGTACAGATACTTATAGATGATTTATTATTGAAAAGTTTTGCCTGTCTAGAGCAGCTGTCATGAGCCGTTATCAAACATGTACATTCTTTAGAGTTTCCAGACTGTACCTGTCTGTAAATAGACCGTACCTGTCTGTAAATAGACCGTACCTGTCTGTAAATAGACCGTATTCGTCTGTAAATAGGCTGTACCTGTCTGTAAATACTGAACCTGTCTGTAAATAGACTGTACCTGTCTATAAATAGACTGTATCTGTCTGTAAATAGACCATAACTGTTTGTAAATAGACCGTACCTGTCTGTAAATAGATGTATTGTGGGTCACTGATCTGATCTTCGGCCACACTGACCACCTTCACACTATACACTGTCCCCCCTGACAGACTAGTAAACGCCACTTTCCTGTCCGTATCCACCCTGTCTTTCTGTATTGCTGACTGCCCACTTTCATTGGTCAAGTAGAACAGGTAATGGTCAAAATAATTGGATGTATCTGTGTACTGGACAGAAATAGTGTCGGTAGCATTTGCTTCTTCTGACAGTATGGTCAGGCATTCAGGTTCTGCATAAAAGACACAATAAAATAGGCTTATCAGAGTTCTACAAATGTCACATGAATGGCTGACAACAAGATCTTATTGGTAAGTGATGCCTTACAAATCATACAAAACATAAATATACTCAAATGATGACTAACATTATAATGTAAAGTACAAACTATTCATACATAATTTTTTTTTAGGAAAAATGTACCGTGTAATTTTATCATACTAAATGATAATATTTTGCTATTATATAAATATCACATTCATGAAAGGGCGATATTGCATATTTTCACCCCAAGGAAGCATTGTTGACCGAGGCGAAGCCGAGGTCAACAATGCTTTCCGAGGGGTGAAAATATGCAATATCGCCCTCTCATGAATGTGATTTTTATTTTATTATACCGAGTGTCATGTTTAGGTGTTTCACCACTTCACCATTTTTAAAGGTCCTTGTGTTGATTTGACATAAACCAAGACTTCATCTCAACAGTTGTCGAATGAACCAACCATGAATGTGATTTGATAACACCCTGGCACTGGGACGAACCGTGCACGCATACGTTTGGCGCATGTAACAATTTTTGGAATAACACCCCGGCACTGGGACGAACCGTGCATGCACACGTTTGGCGCATGTGATATTTTTTGGAATGTCACCCTGTCTTCTTTATCTTTGTAAAACGAGCAAGTAACATTGAAAATGTTCACATCTTTCTCAACCAATCAGATTACTAGATTTTAACAGAAGGTATAATAATAGGGAATAGTCATGATATAAACATTTTGAGCCAGTTACCTGTACGAAACAGCACATGCATGATGCCCAATTACCGGTGTAAGTTACTCTGAATGTACGCTATGTATATCTGCTGTAAAGTCAATTCAGGATCATGAGAAATTTTAAATCTTATAACGGTATACTGACAGTGATTTTCCTTTTCAAGACAATTTATATTAAATCTGAGAACCATTTAGCGGCGAGGATGTCCCAGATCATGAGGATTTATATTCAGTCTAAGGGCCACTTTTAGACAAAATTGTCTCAGATCATAAAAATCTTAACAAAATTTGAGGACTGCTGACAGTAGCAATTCTAGAATTTAGAGTAAAACTGAGTACAACTTACGGACAGTAGCAATTCTGAGAATTTACAGTAAAACTGAGTACAACTTACACTGACAGTAGCATTTCTGAAAATTTACAGTAAAACTGAGTACAACTTACTGACAGAAGCATTTCTGCGAATTTACAGTAAAACTGAGTACAACTTCCTGACAGTAGCATTTCTGAAAATTTACAGGAAAACTGAGTACAACTTACGGACAGTAGCATTTCTGGGAATTTACAGTAAAACTGAGTTCAACTTACGGACAGTAGCATTTCTGAGAATTTACAGTAAAACTGAGCACAACTTACTGACAGTAGCATTTCTGAAAGTTTACAGTAAAACTGAGTACAACTTACTGACAGAAGCATTTCTGCGAATTTACAGTAAAACTGAGCACAACTTACGGACAGTAGCATTTCTGAGAATTTACAGTAGCGAGTAAAACTGAGTACAACTTACTGACAGTAGCATTTCTGAGAATTTACAGTAAAACTGAGTACAACTTACGGACAGTAGCATTTCTGAGAATTTCTTCTGAGTAGGCATCATTGGTACTACTTTTCAATGTGATCTTGTAAGTTTCGCCAGAGGTCAAATTTCCAAGGACAAGGTTAAGGTCTTCTACTGTGTCATTGGGATGAGGGATGGTCATTGTTTGAACAAAACTGGACCGGTAGCTCTGGTAGTCAAGTTTGTACTCCTCAATGAATGTGGCACTTCTGTTATACGACCATGACAGTGACAGGGTACTCTCTGTTGTCAAGGACGTGTTGATTAGGAGATCAGTGGGTGCAAGAGGAGCTAGGAAAAGAAATGAATTAAAAATGTAATCATTTATTCTCACATTTATTACAGGTTCATCAAATGTCAATCTATAGCTAGTATAAGTAATTTCTACCTCATTCTCAAAATCCTCTTGTTTTCAAAATTGGAATTCCATATTTTTTTCCCCCATTTCAAAGCCAAAATGGGCTAGTATTGTCTTAGAGTGGCGTGTGAACTTGATACTTACGAATCTGAACAGAAACATTTCTATGAGGACTCATTTCTCCATAGCTGCCAGCGATAACTAACATGTCATAGCGTTCCCCGGGGAACAGCCCTGTCACCTGGAGTTCTGTGTTATTGGACAGTGTCTGGTCCCAACTTGGGTTGGCCCCTGTGATTGTGCCCCTGTACAAAACATAGTAGTGATCCTGAGTGCTCTCTGGATCCGGTGTCCACAGGAGTTTTACATCTCGACCAATCAGGACAGCCATGAGAGTCAGGACAGGCTTCGGCTCTGTTTAAGTTACAGGGTTAAAGATAAAATCATTATATGACGATCTAATATAGAACTGAACATAGCAGCTCAGCTCATTTCTATTCTATATACCTAACCACACAAACCATATAGTCAAACTTTGCTATAATCAAGTTGAATTTTCAAATACTATGTACCTGTTTATATCAAGTTACTTTTTCAATCCCATCTCAGTTATTTGATACACTGTATATAACATATGCTTTTTATCTTCAAGCGATTCAGTCAGGTACAAGCAATCAATTGACAGTAACGTTGACATATTATAGACAGAATGTGATATCAAGTAGAAAACAGCCCGCTTGGTAATTTTGTGTGGTAATAATAGCAAGATGCTCTTAAAAGACAGGAATCACTGTATTCAAGCTGTGTACCTGTACTGAGGTAATGAGCATGCATGACTTCAATGTTATAGCTTATAATCCGACACCAAACACTCATTCATTTTACCAAATCACTTCAGTTTACATCACTTTTTCCTCTACTATAAGCAGAACCACCATCACTCCAAAAAGAACAATAACTCACCTTTCTTTTGAGTTTACAAAAATTCCTTTGTATACAAGGAATAAAATTATTTTTAAAATGTATCCACTGAACTAACATTGGAAACCACATTTCAATTCTCTTATATATAATGGCTGATTTATCTGGGTTTTTTTCTTCACAATGATGAGTTTCATAAAGCAATTTACAAAAATTCCTTTGTATACAAGGAATAAAATTCAGACATAAAATGAAATAATGAGATAAACTTTTCCATTCTGAATACCTATCTGGTTGTTTGCAGGGCGGGACAAAGGAAGTGAGCACAAACAGCTTTATTTTGCAGGTGTATTAATTTGCACCTAGCTCTAGATCTTTTCTACTAACCATGCAGGCATGAACCAATCACACATTATATAATTATATCATTAAAAAGAAGTGATTTGAAGAAAGAGATGACAAGAGGTCTGTTAAGCTTTGTTAGCTAAAGTAGTACCAGTATTTAGATGTTCTGAGTGAACTCACTTGTTGTTTTAGATGCAGACTCCCAGGTACTATAGGCCGATAGGTTGCCGATGGTTTTAATGGTCCGTATAGAGACTTGGTACATGTATCCTGCAGACAAGTTGTACAGTGTTTCACTGTAGTCTAACTGTCCCTCAACATCGGGTATTAGTGGCAGGGAGGCATTCTCCATCTGATAAATTGTCTGGTATACTACCTACAGAACAAACAGATAAATGTCATGGAAATGTTATTAATGTCCCTTTCTGCATACCCCAGATCTGCTAAAGTCAATTCTGCATGATACCTGTAAACAATAATTATGACCTCACCTCTTTGTTGATTTCAGCTCTAGTAGCCATGACACAGTGCTAGAGTAAGAATACATACCCCAGATCTGCTAAAGTCAATTCTGCATGATACCTGTAAACAATAATGATGACCTCACCTCTGTGTTGATTTCAGCTCTAGTAGCCATAAGAATACATTAAATTCCTACTTATTTTGTGGATTTTATTTTTTAAATTGAAAAATTAAAACCCTATGAAAAACATCTTTCCAGTATACATTTTTTTTTTAATTTTTTTGTCTTTTTTTTCTCATATTTTTTCTTATTTTTCTTCCAGTTTTTTTTCTCATTTTTACAGTATTAACTTTTACCTCAACAGATGATCCGGAAAACTACAAATTATTACTGGAAAGTGTCTCACAAAATGAAAGTCAATGGCATTATTTATGATTAACTGATGAAAACCATGTGTATAGGTAATTGTGGTTGTGAAGGAGCAATTACGGTACTACCAGTAGGTTTCAAATAAATCAGTGCGTGTCAAATCCCTCCTTATGTTTTCATCATTGACCTTATTCTTTTTGTAAGTTGTAGTCAATTTTCAACATGAACAGGTGTGAATCCAGTATTCAAGCTTGCTCGTTTGAACAGGACATAACCTTTGACCTCCAATGTAAGATTTTTGTAGTGTCAGACTTTACAACCTTGATATACGTAGGAGTGTAGGGGACACGAAGCATACAGTCTGTAGGAACTCACCTCGAAGAAGGACTGTTGATGTGTGTTAGGGACCTGCCACTGGGCGTACAGACTACTCGACGCATGGGAAGACACATTGAGAGATTTCACTGGTAAAGGTTCTGGAACACACACAAATGAAAATGTGACAAAGTTATCTCAGAATACTTAATATTTTATCATTTTTGTGAGTAATTAATCACCAAAAATAACATTAATAGACCAATGCCCATATCCAACATGTGATAATTCTGTCAGAGATATTTTAATTTGTGATTAACTCCCCTTTTCATTAACATGCTAAAACGAAATCTACCTTTGCTATGGTTCTGTTATTCACTATTTTGTTGGTTGATATTTTCTCACAAGGAATAGATCCAGTAAAAATACTCACTGTGCGTAACTATATATAGCAGCATTTTTAAGTCATGAACAATGAAAAAGTAATACACCTAATTCTACAAAAATTGTGATATAAATCTGCAAAACATTGAACCAACAGGTGAACTTATCCATTATGTCTCGTGGTGTACTAGTGTTTCCCATCCATTATGTCTCGTGGTGTACTAGTGTTTTACATTACAATTGTGAGAGTGAGATGGTTTTACAGTTTACCTTATGTCTCATGGTGTACTAGTGTTTCCCATCCATTATGTCTCGTGGTGTACTAGTGTTTTATATTACAATTGTGAGAGTGAGATGGTTTTACAGTTTACCTTTATGTCTCGTGGTGTACTAGTGTTTTACATTAAAATTGTGAGAGTGAGATGAGTTAACAGTTTACCTTCATGTCTCGTGGTGTACTAGTGTTTTACATTAAAATTGTGAGAGTGAGATGGTTTTACAGTTTACCTTTATGTCTCATGGTGTACTAGTGTTTTACACCCATTATGTCTCGTGGTGTACTAGTGTTTTACATTACAATTGTGAGAGTGAGATGGTTTTACAGTTTACCTTTATGTCTCGTGGTGTACTAGTGTTTTACATTGCAATTGTGAGAGTGAGATGAGTTAACAGTTTACCTTTATGTCTCATGGTGTACTAGTGTTTTACATTGCAATTGTGAGAGTGAGATGGTTTTACAGTTTACCTTTATGTCTCGTGGTGTACTAGCTAGTGTTTTACACCCATTATGTCTCGTGGTGAACTAGTGTTTTACACCCAGATTTGCATTACAATTGTGAGAGTGAGATGGTTTTACAGTTTACCTTTATGTCTCGTGGTGTACTAGTGTTTTGCATTACAATTGTGAGAGTGAGATGATTTTACAGTTTTCCTTGATGTTAATTTGATCACAATAAGATATAAAGGTACACGTACTTGTTATTACTGCCACCTCAGCCTCGTCACTACCACTGCTGTTAACAAAGGTCTGTATAGAGATGTTGTACAGCGTGCCAGGATTCAGACCTTCAAAGCTGTGGTGGAGTTGGCCCTGGACCCTAATACAGGTAAGTAATATAAATATTAGGATTGTACCACGATAGTGAAACAGTGTTGTTACAGGTAAGTAATACAACTATTAGGTAAACAACAGATACATCACAATTAGTAGGACTGTAGCATAGCATGACAGTCCTGATATAGGTTAATATATATTATGTTAACAACTAATATGATTGAACTCGTCAGCTTCCCTACTGTATCATGTTCCTTTGATGTGGTTGTCTCCCCTTACAAATGCTTTGCACGTCATTTCAAAATAAATTAAGAGCTGAGCTAACTGTGACCCTCTACAAGAAAAATGAGTTCTGCAGTTTAGCTTTTCTTATATAAATCTATCGGTCAATAAAAAGTAGATCAAAGACATAAAAAAATCCTTCCCTTCTGCTAAAACAGGAAGAAATCCAGTATTGAGAAGCCATGTTAAAATTGACTGAAATCTCTACTTTCTACAAAAGTTTCCAAAAAGTCATGTGTGCTCTTGTTACCCTTGAGAAGATACCTACTCGAATAAGGTGATGGGTGATGTGGTGTCTGCTGGCGAGATATTGAGCTCATACATATCAATCACTGTCCCATCTGGGCGGGGCCATGAAACGTTGACAGTAGAGCTACCCACAAAGTCTATGTACAGCTCCGCAACAGAAGTTGGATCTATCGACAAACATTAAGGTAAAACAGTAAAACATCTAATGAATAATTAAGAAATTCATATGACTTTTCAAACTGACAGGCACTGTAAACACTAACACATATTGTATCGATATAGCTAGAATAAGAAGCTGATACTGCTGACAGGCAATGTATTTCACCAAATGTTAGATACTTTATTGATGGCATGAAAACAAGCAAGAAACACACACATACACCCCTCGAATGTGTGGCCCCTTAGATAATAAGTTAGTTATAACAATTAATAGAGTTACAGAAACTTAAAACTCTACTATTTGTTCCAGCAACAAAATACAGTAGAAGTTACCAACTACTAAAGATTGGCCCCACAAAATAAAAGTTTTATGAAGTATTGGTAAACTTTAAATATTTCTACCAAATAGTTCAACTTTATTCTATCATGTTATCATTAAAATCAGGATTTCTAACATTTAATTTTAGAATTAAGCACCCTGATTTAAATTTCATAAAAATATCATACTTGTGGTGGCCTGAACTTTGACCTCTGAACTTGACACATTGCCACTGAGAGAGGTTACAGTGATGTCGTAGGTCTCGCCTGGGTGTAGTTTGGTAAAGCTGTGCCCTGGCGTAGACACAGTGACTGATACAGGAGACACACTATCCGAAAGTGTGGACTTGGCTGTGACAAAATAGTTCTCCACCATTCCATCCACAGGCCGTTGCCAGGTGACATCGATGACACGACCACTCCTAACGACCGCCGTTACATTGACAGGAGGGTATGGTCCTAGAATGAAGTATATCATTTCAGTCATAATACTGAAGTTATAGTAGTATTCTTTTTGATGCTGTTGCAATGTGAAATCTAAAACTTTCACATATAGTGAAATAGTTTTAATAGAAATAATGACATATCAAGATCAATTCAAAACTATTAATAGCAATGTTAGTACCCTTCAAATTAAGTAGGAGAGAAAGTTTATATTCAGTTTATAATCAACAAATTTTAGTAGACAAAGAAAATTTAAATAGCAATCAAACATTTCTGCAGTCAAGATTTCTTGAATTCCTTACGTGTCCACACAACTCTTTCTGTAGGGTTACTCCTTTTCTGTCCAGCCCCTGACACGACTGTAACCACATACATCTTTCCTGCCACCAGCTTCTCGAATAGGGCAGTGCGCTGATCCACAGTATAGTCCATCCTATAATACAACCAAAGTCAATACTCTCACCAGTCAATGTTTACCATGTCTGTGTCAACAATGAACTGTGATTGTCAACCTTCAATTTTCAAGTTTTCAAAAAACAATTCTCAGAAAAGAGTTCTTTCTTTAATATTGCATATCAGAATCATTATTGGTCATGAACAATTGTTAAAAAGTCCAAATTTCAATGTTGTCTTGTTTTTCAGCTCCACTTGATATAATTTTGTGTACATAGACTTCTTTAACAGAAAAAAGGATTTTTTTCTTTAAATCATGGATATTTGCAATCAAGACATAATATAAGTTGACGACTGTTTGATGATCTGGGGCCGAGCATGGTATATAAATATGAACTTTATTTATTTTACAACAATCATGAAACAAGTCATTTCAACTTCTTTTAATCACTCTTGTTGGCCCCGATGTTAGCGCTGGGGGTCATATAATGTGGTAGGAAACCAATGCCTAGGTGAAAGGTGAGTCATTATCCACTGCGCCACCCAACCCCCCGAGCATGGTAATGTACCATTAAATTAACTGTCCACTTACACTGGGGAGATCGTCTGAGGCTCCTTGGGGGAAATCCTGACCTCGTAGTAACTAACACTACCACTACTAACCGCCTCCCACAAAACCTTGATGGAGTTTTGAGTGATCCCTGCATCTGTGATCTTTATGGGTCCAGATGGGTAGGGATCTGGGGGAAAACAAACAACGAAGTCAAGATGTTATTACATCACATTTCAATAAATAATTGAACATCATTCAATAAATATGACAAAATCATCCATAAAATACAAATATATCAGGTCCATTTAAAACGATGTTAATTACCTACATCAAGTTATTTCTGAACGATTCTAAATATATGTATCAACAAAACATTGGATTTGAAACTTAATGTATTACAACAACTATGTGTACTAGATTATAAACTGTATAATGTGCTTATTTCCCTGTTGTACATTTTTTCATATAATAGAAATATCTTCACATTTCTATTGAAGAAATTCTAGTTTAAAAATTAATTAGAGAAATTTCTGCATCCTCTTTACTTCTTTATCATATTTTAGACATATCTTCACATACTATTAAACTAGCTAAAAATATATATCTAACACTATAAACTGACATGTCAGCATGGGCCCCATCATGTGCCTGATCATAACCCCCTCAGTCTATGCTTAGTATCAGTAACCCTGACCTTAGAAACGTTTGAAATCCCTATTTTACATCTACATATCAGTGTATGTCCATGGGAAATTTCAAAAAGATTAGACTTTTTGATTCCAAGATCCAGTTTTTACCCCCACATTCTATTTTTAGTAACAGTGACATTGACCTTGACCTTAGAAACTTTTTAAATCCTTATTGTACATCTATATATTCAAGTGTATCACCATGTCAAATTTTAAAAAGATTAGGATTTTGGATTACAAGATAATCTCCAGAAACGAAAATGTGAATGGACAGACACACTACAAGGCACCCACATCTCTGATGCATGCAGGGCACTAATGAATCATGAGCGCTATAATTTGGTTTAAAAGTGTGTAGCTCTAAACTGCTTTGATTAATGTTTCCTCTTTTCTTGTTTAGGGTAAGTTTTTTTTTTTTACAGTGTTAAATGACATGACACTTGTATCTCCTGATCAGAGAAGTTACCTAATGGATTTAGTTGGTCATCATACAGAGAAAAGACTTTTAATCAGAATTATATAAGATATAGGATAAACTAGATATTATCTAATTTGTTAAAATTGATTTATTATTTCGACACATAACCTGTCTGATGAGTTAACTTTCAAATATATTACCCACACATGAATGTCTGTTGGTCATGCTTGAAATCAAATATATTCTATGGTATATATCCTAATCAATCAACACTTATTGGATGATGTCCCCTTTATAGACATGCCATACATACATAATCACCACACAAACGTTATCACAACACATACGTTATCACCACACATACGTATCACCACACATATGTTATCACCACACATACGTTATCACCACACATACGTTATTACAACAAATACGTTATCACCACACATACGTTATCACCACACATAAATAATCACCACACATACGTTATCACCACAAATACATTATCACCACACATACGTTATCACCACACATACATAATCACCACACATACGTTATCACCACACATACGTAATCACCACACATACGTTATCACCACACATACGTAATCACCACACATACGTTATCACCACACATACATAATCACCATACATACGTTATCACCACACATACGTTATCACCGCACATACGTTATCACCACACATACATAATCACCATACATATGTTATCACCACACATACGTTATCACCATACATACGTTATCACCACACATACATTATCACCACACATACATAATCACCATACATACGTTATCACCACACATACGTTATCACCCCCATACGTTATCACCACACATACATAACCACCACACATACATTATCACAACACAAACGTTATCACCACACATACGTTATCACCACACAAACGTTATAACCACACATACGTTATCACCATACATACATAATCACCACACATACATTATCACCACATATACGTTATCACCATACATACATAATCACCACACATACGTTATCACAACACATACATTATCACCACACATACATAATCCCCATACATATGTTATCACCACACATACGTTATAACCTCACATACTTAATCACCACACATACGATATCACCACACATACGTTATCACCACACATATGTTATCACCACACATACGTTATCACCACACAAACGTTATAACCACACATACGTTATCACCATACATACATTATCACAACACATACATAATCACCACACATACATTATCACCACATATACGTTATCACCATACATACATAATCACCACACATACGTTATCACAACACATACATTATCACCACACATACATAATCACCATACATATGTTATCACCACACATACGTTATCACCTCACATACTTAATCACCACACATACGTTATCACCACACATACGTTATCACCATACATCCGTTATCACCATACATACGTTATAACCACACAAACGTTATCACCACACATACGTTATCACAACACATACGTTATCACCACACATACATAATCATCACACATACATTATCACCATACATACGTTATCACCACACAAACGTTATCACCACACATACATAATCACCACACATACGTTATCACAACACATACGTTATCACCACACATACGTTATCACCACACATACGTTATCACAACACATACGTTATCACCACACATACGTTATCACCACACATACGTTATCACCACACATACGTTATCACCATACATACGTTATCACCACACATACGTTATCACCACACATACGTTATCACCATACATACGTTATCACCACACATACATATATATATATATATATAAGCACAACTGTCAGAGTGATTACAATTTAATCCTAACACCATTTACCTGTATAGAATATATCGGAGAAAGAGGTACTCTCCTCCCACTGGGATGCCACGGTGGCTGAGATATTGTACGCTGTGCCTCCAGTGAGGTTATTGAGAGTGACGTTGGTCTCTGTTGGAGGGACTGTAAAGTTGTAGAATGAGAGACCATCGATGATGACTTTGAAGAGGAAGAGTTGGTAACTGGATACGGTGGGGGGTACCAGTTGTAGGTACAGATCAGTCGATGAGCTGCCCAGCTCTACAATGTCCATCAAGGGGTCAGGCTCTGTGGGAACATACAAAACGTTTCAACCTTCTGATACAATTATGCTTAAATTATTAAGTGGTATTAATTTATTGTAACTTTCAATTATTTTTGGAACCTAGAACCAACTTCAACCAATGTGATTTCTGAAAATAGTCAAAGCCAACCTTTTCATTGTCCTTTTCATTTTAATAACAAGTTTACAAGAACTGAGACCTTAGAAATAAAATATATTTATATCTTGAAATACAATGAGCTATTCAGTTATACCTCCAGAAATTAAAACCTGACCATTTCAATATACATTTGTATTCAATATACTGCTGATGTTGACAGAAACTTTTATAAATTACACTGATGATGTATATTGGATTACTTGTGCTGTGGTAGGCAGAGTCTGGCTCGCTCCTCCTTACTCCCTTGACAGAGAAGACTTCCAGCAGCAACATCTGGCCGGGGATACCAGGAACACTGGCAACACAGCTGGACCACAACTTGACCTTACAAGTCAAGTTGACCTCTTCTGACTGACCAAAGGACGTATTGTAGGTGGCTGTGAACATCTCATGATCCTGAAAAATCAGGAAAAATAGTAACAACAGATCAATAGAATTGTTTGTAGTATAGCATTATTATTATTAAGGTGAAATGGAAGCATCTCTGTATATTAATACTCTTCAAATTATTCAGAGTTGCCATTCTTGAGGGTTTATAACAGAACATTGCTGGGAACGTAAACTTCTAGTATCTATCCATTTATTGCAAGCATAATCTTATATGTTTTATGTAAATGTTATCTTGGTTAAAGTTAGACATTAACTGTACAGGTGAAAATAAGTACCTGTTATGTGGATTATGGCCTGTTTTCCATCAATTATAATTGGAAAGTCAAACAATTTTTCTAACCGCCCAGTGTAACAGGTTGACCTGTACATGTCCTATCTGACAGGTCCTGCACATGTGTGGGGAACCTGTAAGTTAAGTTGACCTGTATATGTGTGGTACCTATGTGACAGGTTGACCTGTTTAGTTGTGGTGTACCTATGTGACAGGTTGACCTGTTTAGGAGTGGTGTACCTATGTGACAGGTTGACCTGTTTAGGTGTGGTGTACCTATGTGAAAGGTTGACCTGTATATATGTGGTGTACCTGTGTGAAAGGTTGACCTGTATATATGTGGTGTACCTATGTGACAGGTTGACCTGTTTAGGTGTGGTGTACCTATGTGAAAGGTTGACATGTATATATGTGGTGTACCAGTCTGACAGGTTGACCTGTTTAGGTGTGGTGTACCTATGTGAAAGGTTGACCTGTATATATGTGGTGTACCTGTGTGACAGGTTGACCTGTTAAGGTATGGTGTTCCTATGTGAAAGGTTGACCTGTATATATGTGGTGTACCTGTGTGACTGGTTGACCTGTTGCGGTGTGGTGTTCCTATGTGACAGGTTTATCTTTTTAGGTGTGGTGTACCTGTGTGACAGGTTGATCTGTTTAGGTGTGGTGTACCTATGTGACAGGTTGATCTGTTTAGGTGTGATGTACCTGTGTGACAGATTGATGTGTATATGTGTGGTGTACCTATGTGACAGGTTGATCTGTTTAGGTGTGATGTACCTATGTGACAGGTTGACCTGTTTAGGTATGGTATACCTGTGTGACAGATTGATGTGTATATGTGTGGTGTACCTGTGTGACTGGTTGACCTGTTACGGTGTGGTGTTCCTATGTGACAGGTTTATCTTTTTAGGTGTGGTGTACCTGTGTGACAGGTTGACCTGTTTAGGTGTGGTGTACCTATGTGACAGGTTGATCTGTTTAGGTGTGATGTACCTATGTGACAGGTTGATCTGTTTAGGTATGGTATACCTGTGTGACAGGTTGATCTGTTTATGTGTGGTGTACCTGTGTGACAGGTTGATCTGTTTAGGTGTGATGTACCTATGTGACAAGTTGACCTGTTTAGGTGTTGTGTACCTGTGTGACAGGTTGACCTGTATATATGTGGTGTACCTGTGTGACAGGTAGACCTGTATATATGTGGCATATGTTACTGTGTGAAATGTTGATCTTTATATATGTGGTGTATCTGTTTAACAGATAGATCTGTACATGTGTGACATACCTGTGTGCTGTGGATCTCAGTAACCCAGGACATCATTACACTACTGTTGTCCAGCGCTACAACACTTTGTATGATAGGGGACAGCGGCACTGGGGATATAAAATATCTGTGTTACATGCACGTTTACACAGCAAACACATATATGAGTTAGTTACATTATAGTGATGCTACAACAGTAATCATAATGCTGTAATATTGACAGTGACATTTATCATACTCTGTTATTACTGCTAAATAAAACCTCTAGTAGAAAGATCACAAATATATCCAGATAACATCTTCCAACACCATCAGTCTATTCTGTATTTTTCAATTGTTTTCTTTGTAGAGCCATCCAAGCCATTTAAGGTTAATTAGTATATCAGCTTTTACAGGACTTGATCCATGCATAAACCCTATCTCCAACACTTACCTGTACAATCTACCCATAACCCTGTCCTAATACAATCTACCCATAACCCTGTCCTAAATACAATCTACCCATAGCCCCTGTCCTAATACAATCTACCCATAACCCCTGTCCTAATACAATCTTCCCGTAACCCTGTCCTAAATATGTAATCTACCCATAACCCTGTCCTAAATACAATCTAACCATAGCCCCTGTCCTAATACAATCTACCCGTAATCCTGTCCTAATACAATCTACCCATAACCCTGTCCTAATACAATCTACCCATAACCCTGTCCTAAATACAATCTAACCATAGCCCCTGTCCTAATACAATCTACCCATAACCCCTGTCCTAATACAATCTTCCCGTAACCCTGTCCTAAATATGTAATCTACCCATAACCCTGTCCTAAATACAATCTAACCATAGCCCCTGTCCTAATACAATCTACCTGTAACCCTGTCCTAATACAATCTACCCATAACCCTGTCCTAAATATAATCTACCCATAACCCTGACCTAAATACAATCTACCCATAACCCCTGTCCTAATACAATCTACCCGTAACCCTGTCTTAATACAATCTACCCATAACCCTGTCCTAAATATAATCTACCCTTAACCCTGTCCTAAATACAATCTACCCATAACCCTGTCCTAATACAATCTACCCATAACCCCTGTCCTAATACAATCTACCCATAACCCTGTCCTAATAAATCTACTTGTAAACTTATCCTAATACAGTGTACCTGTAGCCATGCATATACATGTAATACAATATACTTGACCTAATAAAATATATCCTTAACATTGACCTTATGAAATCTATAGTTGCTACTGTATCCTTAAATTTGACCAAATACCTTGACATATATATCTTACAAAACTATCCTGTTCAAGTGCATCATTTTCTGTCAGAGTAAATATGGTAATTAATATCAAATCAATATCATAGCAATATTAATCATTATTTTCCTATAACCTAGCTATGTCCAATTAATGACCTTGATGAATGTTAAAACTACCTGTGTTATCTTCAATGAGAGTGGAGAAGTTGCTGGATACGCCCTGACTGGAGGAGACGACGGTGATCGTGTAGACGTGACCCGGGTACACGCCTGTGATGTTATGAAACAGCTCTGTGAGCAGTTCTGACTCGTACACTTCAGAGAAATTGGTGATTCCTGTCAGAAAGACACGGTAGGAGTCCTGGACACTGTCAGGGTCAGGGGTCCAGGAGATGTATAGGTTTTCAGTACCCGCCTCATCTACATTTATACTTGTGGGAGGCAGAGGCTCTGTAAGGTAAAAAGAACTTTAAATACATGCAAACCTAGGTTGTTTATGTTTTAAAGTCATTAGAGTGAAAATTCCTCTTTTTCTTCTTCTTTAAAACCTTTATTGCACACCTTGCATACACAGTTAATTAATCTTATTTCTGTATATTGTTTCATAATTGACAGTCAATAAGTCATGTTTAAATTCTCCAAAAAACTTGGCAATTCAATTTTATATATCATCATGTTTCAAGTAAAAGCATTATAAGTTAGTTGCTCATTCAAAAACTATCATACACAATAGCTACATTGTATACTACACACTTAATGAAAAATTGAACACTTGTGAAAAAGAAATGTTCTACAGTAACCAAGGATTGTTAAGGACAAAAAGGTAAGATGGTGTTATAGCTATATGTATAGTGAGTGAAAGATCTAGACAATGTCATAAAATATTGATAGACTTTCTGTAAAATGGTGAAACAAAACATGTTTACTTGTTGTTTGATTAGCACTGTAGATGGATGTTCCACTACGCAGTATGTTGACCTGGTATGTGACCCCAGGTTGAAGGTCAGTGATGGTTTTCATGACAACCTCTGACCCCAGTGTCCGGTCAACATCCTTATAGGAGATGTTTCCAGCCAGTCCATAGCCGACTGTAAAATTGACATCCCCGTCACTCTCTGTCCAGGTGAGGTCTAACGAGTATTCACCAGGTGTAACATTCACTGCTGGTATCTGTGCTTTGATAAGTAGTGTCTGCAATAGGATGAAAATGAGAGGATAACAGAAAATATATCAGAATATCAGATAACACAGCGTCTGGAGACAGGATAACATTTTGATATGATAGGTGATATAATGGGTGATACTATGGGTGATATGATGGGCGATATAATGGGTGATGTGATGAGTGATGTGATGGGTGATACGATGGGTGATATGATGGGTGATATAATGGGTGATATGATGGGTGATATGATGGGTGATATGATGGGTGATACGATGGGTGATACGATGGGTGATATGATGGGTGATACGATGGGTGATATGATGGGTAATATGATGGGTGATACGATGGGTGATACAATGGGTGATATGATGGGTAATATAATGGGTGATACGATGGATGATATGATGGGTGATATGATGGGTGATATGATGGGTGATACGATGGGTGATATGATGGGTGATATAATGCAAGTATAGGTATGTGTGTACGGATATGTCATCATCATCATAGAGAACAGTACCTGAAGGTCAAATACACTTTACATACAATAATTAACAAATATTTACCCCAAATGTGTACTGTACATGTTACCACACACTCTAATTATATAAGTGTAATGACAGCTTCCCACTTAGCACCAACCCCACCCTAAGGAAGTCCGGTGGCATGTCATTAATTATCACCAACCCTTTTTTTCTGAGGTACATTAAATATTGTAGGTCATGATCAGGTATAGCTATATAGCTACATGTATGTAGAAGCATTTAGTATCAAATTAAAAAAACACTTCCTCCATGAGAACTAAGATGGCATCATTCAGCGCCAATCTTACCTTCCTCCTAGCTAGGGTCAGGGTCAAATGATGTCACTTAGCACATTTATCTATAATATATAGATCAATGCACAACTATATACTGAGATATATGTTATCAGCATATATATCTATAGCTACAAATCTAAGACATACATAATGAAATCAAGCTGAGTGTAGGAATAATTACTCAGTTTTTATTCAGATAGTACAGGTACCTACATGTTTGTCAGAAAAAAAAGCACACCTGTTTTGTTCACTCAATGTAATGTTGCAAAATGAACACCATCGGTTAATATCATGTTCTCTTAATATCATGTTACACCTAATGAGAATTTATGTAAAACTGACTGCATTGTTTAACAAATTTTACCGTAAAATTTTCTGAGCAACTTGCTTTCAATGATTGGTTGCTTCTAACTATTATCCTGCATCATGATATAATACTTTTAAAGCTCATGTAATCGGTGAGGATACATAAAATCTAGCAGAGTGAAGACAAAAGTAGTACATGTGCCTGTGTTTTAATTAGATTTTATCATTTGTTGCTAGGTTTCTTATCACAGGTATATATGCCAAGGCAACGAAAGTACAGGTAAAACTTCAGCACAGGATCTAATTGGTTCAGACCTGTTGCTAGGTTTGTTATCAAAGCAATACAAAACCCGCCTTAAGTTGATCCTTTCTTTCCATTTTCAAAATGACAACAAAGGCCAAAAGGTTAATATACAATGTACATTTTCAGTAACAACCCTCATTTAGGTATTTTTCTGACTATATCATGAAATGGCAAATTCCTTAAGCTGGGAAAATTGACGACCGGTGTATCCTGTTGAACGAGTGTTTTCGTGTGTTTTTTTTATATCTATATCTCATTTAAAAAGTTCCAACTATAAAGTTCTTAAATATTTAAAGATCATCTTTATGCTAAGGCAATTCAGGAAAGGAAAATATGAACTCCTTGCATTAAGGAAGAATATTTATACAATATTTCTTTCTTCAGATTTTATATATAATATACTTTTTTAATATGGGAGAACCTTTCTAAATCTCATTGAGATGTCATGAAACTGCACAGTTATGTTGAACTTTCCTAAATTTGAATTTGAATATGATTGTGAAAGTTCAAGGTAACAACTTAAAATAGAATTTCACCTTTATGTATATGTCAATCAGGAGCAGGCCTGGTAGACCGGTATATATGGGAGAACCTTTCTAAATCTGATTGAGAATTGAGCCCATTACTTTTCCCTAAATAATTGTAGACCATTTTAATAAATAATTTGTTTTTGTACATTTATTGTAATTATATGGCCACTATAATTTCCTTACAAATGTTGTAAGTGAAATGGACTTGCTTGTTAATTAAGAGGTATATGACTGACATGACCTCCAAGTCCAACAGTCTGAGCTGAGTGGGTTTTCTGCATAAGATACATGTATATTGCAGTCATTTACTACACAATTCTAAGCCATCATTTAATAATGTACATGAAACAATTAGGATATAATGAGACTCAGCCTGTGTCTTAGCACGTTTGTTATGTACAACGTACATGTATTAGGGCCACACCTATATGTTCAGGTGTGAAATATTACACCATTTATAGGAAGGAAACAAAGTATTCCGTCTTTACACAATATCAGGTTTGCATATATACTGGTTAATATAAAGAGTTTCCATGGTAACAGTCAAGTCAAAGGTCCATAGTGTATTAATATGATACAAAATCAATTCTTCTGCTATGGTCAATTTTAAGCTATAGGTTTGTTAATGAATTCAAGTAAACCTATATGAGTATACACGTACAAGGTAGTATACCATAGTAAATTGTATCACATATACAGTATCATGAAGCACAAAAGTGAGCAAAGCTAGTTAACATTATATTATATACCAGTCCACCAGGCCTGCTCCTGATTGACATACATAAAGGGGAAATTCTATTTTAAGTTGTACCTTGAACTTTCACAATCATGTTCAAATTCAAATATAGGAAAGTTCAAGATAAATGTGCAGTTTCATGACTATTAACATCTTTCAAAGATTTAATTCAGCATTTATAAATTATATAATTAGAGCATTGACAAAGTGTGCAGTGGTGAAATTCTGTTTTCAGTAACAGTGTCATCCCTGTTTGACCATGATCACAAGTACACTCATATTCAAACTCTTAACCAGATCCTGTCCCAAGGAATTTCTATACAGTTGTATCTATAGGTAAAAATAGACAGTTGTAAAGTTTCATCAAAATCTTTCAGAAATATATTGGTAGTTTAAAACACAGATTACGACAATGAAATACTATTTAAACAATGACCTTGACCTTTGACCAATCATGCAAATATTTATAAACTTCTAAAAGCATGATAAGCAAAAGATTGCAATTGAAGCAAATGTGCAAAAATCAATTATCATCATAAATGATAAATATGCATTCTGGCCCGTGAATTTTAAACCGTTCAAGATATCTTGATCAAACTTGAAGTATACTTGCATCACCCACAGAAGGTGTGAATTGCACTAGAATTAGGTCTCGTGCCCCACTTTATACAGAGTTATGGCCCTTTGTTTATTTTTAATACTGAAGTTTGTCCAGAGCATAAGTTCCATATTATTTCACCTATGTTGACCAATTAAGCTTACAATATTTATGTATCTTGGGAAGGCGGAATCTCTCACACTGAAGAAATTGGGTCTTGTGCCCCACTATATACAGAGTTATGGCCCTTGTTCACAAAAAATAATTTCTAGTTTAATTTTAATTTTGCTCTTATCATGAGTTATATATACACAGTATGTTTCTATCCCATCTTAAGGGGCAGATAACTCTGAAAATTAGATAATCTTATTTGTTCACACTGTTGCAATTAAATCTTTGTCTCCTAGAGCTATTGCCATTTTTGTAATTTTAATTCGTACCTTACAAATACATGTTTTTATGATTTAGTGTTATACAGGATTTCACAGTTGAAATTACGTTTTTGACGGACTGACATGTACATATTTTACTACAATATTTATGCATTAAGTCTACCGCATGTACAGCTTTTGCTGTAACTGTACATGCACAAGGGTCTGATCTATATATATAATGGGTATTGTAGTATATATAGTGACCACAGGGACCTGATAATCTGTTACAGCTATATGATTTTGACCTAAATGGAGGTGTTCAGAGTAATATTACAGGTTTGGGGTTTTTATATCAACTTTCGGTACAATTGCATCCCTAATATGATGGTATTCAAGAATCTGAACACCTCAGTTAATGTCCTAATATAGCTGTAACACATTCTCTGGTCCCTGTGATAGCGTGACTAGCGAGTCTGTTGAAGCCATCATAGCTACATTGTTGTCTATGATTTACTGTCAACATAACTATATTGAGACAATAAGTAGCTGATAGATTTGGTTGTACAATAATTACATGCTGTCTGGGGTTTTGTGTACACCAGTCACCTACACTGTAGCTCTCACACATTTCTATGTAATAAGCTGCAATATCTGTTACTGTAGTACACATACATATGTACCTAAGGACAGGTGACTGTAAAGCCGCTAATATATCACTGATCAATGACAAATTGACAGATCACACAGAGAAATATGGAAGAGATGCAATAATGCTTTCATTCAATGCAGTTATACACTATCATGTATATACATTTCAAGCGTTTACTTAATTTCCTCAACTAGATTTATCATTACATCACAAGCCTTTTTTCCCGTTTCAATAATACAACATTATAGCTATCAAAGCATTATCAACAACTTTTGCATACAGGAAGTACAGAACACACATATCTGAGATGTCACCCTGGAGGCATATCTGGATGAGCTTTGACAGATATATACATGTGGCTATAATGATCACTAGTCTACACACGTAATGTACAGGTCTGGTTTCACTCTGATCCTGGACTGCGCTCACAGCAGTCAAACTTACAGGTGAAACAATAAAATTATTACCTGGTACTTGATGACCATTTCTGGCTGGGGCAGAAACATAAAGATGGCGTATATACAATATCCTGTAAAACACATAAAGCTGTGAACTCCCTGTGTATGCCTCCTGCTACAATATTATTGTACGTGAACATTAAATCTCTGATCATGGTAACATAGCTGAAGCGTGAATTTCCTTACATATTTGTCAATCTGATATTATGCTGATCAAACAAATGAAATATTCAATTTCATTATGGCCTTGG